GTTTGTAGTGAAATTGAAAAATTTAAGATAAATTGTATTTTAAGATAAATTGTATTTTAAAATTAAATCACTCAAATATTTGATTCAGGAGTTGTGACACGCCAAGGTACTGATGTTTTGAATGTTTATTATGTTTTTCTACAGACGTGCTTTTAAAAAAATACATTAAAATTGGGTGGACAAGTTGAAAAAACCTGGATCTTTTGTAATACACTAAAAATATTAAAATACCTACTCTATTGACTGTAGAATCACCCAAGTATTTACTTTAAATACCGTTCCTTAAAAGTATAACAAAAACAAAAATTAATATACAAGAGGTAGCAAACCTTGCAACTTCGTACTACTGACCCAGTACAATTCATAAAAACTTAATTTCCGTTTAAATTTAAATTTTAAATTGGACAGAAAAGTGATTATCTTGGTAATGAGTTTATTAACTAATAAGTTTCGCAAACTCGAGGCCCGGAATTCGTTTCGAAACAGAGATGGAGAAGGGGCGATCTTTACGAGCTCACTAAGTGTGATCTTTATTACCTTACAGATTTATTTTTTAAGCCTTATTTAATTCCACTCCATTTCAGTCTTTCGACTAAATATTCTCACTCTAGTGCACTGTCAGAAATGAACACAGACAGTATTGTCGAAGATCACTATATTTTTGATTCTATTGAAGAAGAAGAAGAATAGGAAGAAGAAGAATGCCATCTTCACAAAGTCATGGACCTTCTCATTTCACATGTAGGAGGTGTGTTCAGAAAATAACGAAAATTGTTAAATTTCGCGGGTTCGGAGGGTCCGGTTGTCATAAAATTTTCTTTATTATGTTGGTATACATGCCCCCGAAGTATGATAAAAACTTTAGTTGTTTTCATTGTTTACTTTGTCTGTGGCAGCCGCTTAGGTTTGAAGTGTTTTATGAGCTCGGCGATTTTTGGTTCGTTAAAAGAAATGGATCAAAGAATTTGTATCCAGTTTTGCTTAAAAAATGAAACAAATTCTGTGAAATGTTAACAAAGGCCTATAGTGAGTCTGCTATAAGTAAAACAAGAGTTTACAAGTGGTATAAGAGTTTCCAAGATGGCCGTGAAGACGTTGAAGATGACGAACGCCCCGAACGCACAAGCACATTAACAACCGATAAAAACATGGAAAAGTGGAAGAAATGGTTATAAACCATCAGAGAAGTCGCTGTTGATGTTGGTATATCGATTGACTCATCCCATGAAATGTTTTCGAAAGTTTTGGGTATGAAACGCGTGGCAGCAAAATTTGTTCTAAAATTGTTAAATTTTTGGCCAAAACAATACTATAATGATGCCCCAGCCTCCATATTCGCCATACATGCCTCTGTCTGACTTTTTCCTATTCCCAAAAATAAAGAGAACCTTAAAGGGCAGTCGTTTTGCAAGCATAGATGACATTAAAAGCGCATCGCTGAAAGAACTAAAGGCTATCCCAAAGATCGAGTTTTAGAAGTGTTTCGAGTATTGGAAGAAGATCTGGCACATGTGCATGTATCCAATGGGGACTATTTTGAAGGCGACAACATTAATGTAGACGAATAAATAAATATTTGTTTCAAAAAACGAAAATTCCCGACGCTACAACGCTAGTTCGTATATCCAATTTAAGTAATGAAATGTAAAATCATTTTAAATCCCTTTATTATTTCTATCAAAGATCGTCATAAATATTACCTCGTAAACAATAGAATAAATACGGCTTTGATGCTGCTGTAGAGAGCAAAATATGTCAATAAATCAAAAATTCGTATGCACAAATCGAAGAAGAATTTAATAAAATCCAATACAGGCGTTTGAATTGAATGGCCCCGTTGACACCGTATCTTATAGCTCGACAATATGAAATGCATTTTCATTTCTAAATCATTTACAGTTGGTCGCCGCGCAACCATTGTCGTATTTTTCACCCTAAACTAGGCACAGCATTTCATTTTCCAAATTCCATATTTTATTGCTCTGCGATCTCCTCTCCTGCAAATCAAAACAAACGAATTTCTATCTTTTCGCCGTCGCGACGCGTCGTGCAGAAAGAAAAGGAGGAAACGACTATCCTTCAGTGACGGCTCAACCGTAAAATTAGGAAAAATTGTGTCTTTTCTTGTTCATGCCTTTTGCATTGCTTGTTTAAGTTTTTAGTTTTTTCGGGAGATAATACCTACACGGAAAAAAATGTTTTCTAAATGTAAGAAATTTCTTTTAAATATTAGGTAAATTAAAAAGATTTTATTTCTTAGCTTAAAATCAAGTACAGTTGAAACAAGATGATGACCTAATATTGTCAAGGCCAAACATTAAACTAAATATTTTCTTTAAACAAGCAGATCTTATTCTTGCCTGTTAAATTTTAAGAAAGACTTTAAATGAAATAATCCTATTCTTAATTTAAGATTACCAATCGATTAGACCAAATTTCCGAAAATTCCCTCCATTCTGTTCTTAAAGATGTAATATAAATATAATTATATGTATTCGTAAATATTGGTACGACTGGCCTATTCTTAAAATATCCCTCACTCACGAAAGTGTCCGACATTTCGGAAGATTGTTTCTTGTGTCAGTTAATATTCGGTTTGGAATTATGAAAGAGCTGCTAAATTAATGGAATTTGATAGAATTAACCACAAAATGTATGTGTAGGTGATAATTATATTTTTCTACTCCCACCTTTAAAACGGCCTTTATCGTACATGTTTCCATGACACTAAGTGACCTTTTAAATACACATTGACAAGTTGTGGCTTTACGGCGCTTTAGTCACGGGCTGAAGTTAGCCACCGGTTTTTAGTCACGTTTGATGCATTGGTACAATAAGTACTTAAATAACCTTAAATTATTATAAAATAAATTTAATTTTTTTCCGTATTTTCGGCCGGGTAGCAAGAAAAATAGTATACACTACACGGGCAGAAAGTGTGAGAGCCCTGAACTGCGCGCCATGATGCCCTCGGCTTCGCCTCGGGCATCATGGCGCGCATTGCAGGAATCTCACACTTTCTGCCCTTGTAGTGTAATATACTATTACCTGGTTTAAATTGAACTCCTTTTCAGTGTTAAATATAATGTGTTTTTGGTCAAATTAAATCATACTACACAGAAAAAAAGGAAGTTCCTTGACGCATTACAAGTATATTACCAGTGGTATTATTCCAGAAAATTGAACCTTCAACTCGCTAGAGATAATGTTTTTAGTGCGTTCCACCAACTTAAAATACTTCAAATATTGACAGCTGTTTCCACCTATTTAAGGTCTCTTTAGTATCGAACAACTTGTAGTGTCACACCAAAGCAAAGGACTACCTGAGCTTATATACTCTTCATGTAAGTCAACAGAGGCGAGATTTAAGAACATCACGTGATCCACACCGCCTTTGCCGCGATCGGTACACACTATGCAACCAGGGATATACGGCAAATTGTTTTAATCGTTTTAACGGAGTGCTTTAGGTTGAAGTAACTCTTATTTTACAAACAACATATTTAGTAAACTGAACCATAGAGCGGGTTGGTTTCACTAAAGTTTTCTGGGTTAATTTAACCAATTTAAATAAAATAAAATAACTGTCTGGTTTAGTACCGGCAAACTAATCTTTGTTTATATTAACCTTCCCATAGTTGATTTAAATAAATACTTATGGGTCAACTAAATTAATATAGTTAAATGAACTATTCCTTTTTTTCTGTGTAGGTGCACTTCTCAAATATTTTTAGATAAACACCGTTTTGGTGTTTGCTGTATCAAACATTTTCAACCATAATTCATGGTGTTATATTAACACCACTTTTCACACCACAGATATTTTAAATAGTGTACAAATGGGTGTTTCAGAAAATTCTAGTGACGATATACAGGGCGTTAAGAAATAAATTTAAATTATTTTGTTTTATTAAATTGATAAAAGCAAGTTATATTTAATAAACGCTGCTGCGGCATTCAGTCAATAAGCGTGCTAACTGTCTATCTAAATATTTCATAGACGATAAATACAATTAATGAACCTCTAATTCGACAGAAATGTTTTAAATTGCGTAGTAGGTACATACATTATGCCCATAAAAGTATATACCACCCCATTATCTCCGACTGTTCGGTTTCCATTAAATACCGTTGGGAGCAAATACGAGGGGCGGCCATCCCGTGCGGTCGCAAAAAGTGTTTACGTTAATCAGCAACAAATGTATGTAGATTTGGTTGGTATGTAAATTTTTAGCGCCACCGCCACGATTTAAAGCGATTTCGCCGAATCAAACGCCAAAAAGAGAAGGTAATTTTTTATTGAACACTGTAGATAAAAATATTGCTTAAATGGCGGAAAATTGGAAATTGCAGATGATTTATTTAATATTTAATAAAAAAGGTGAAAGATTTAAAAAAAGGCACATTTTTTATTTGGCAAAATATATATTATTAAATTAAAAGTCCTAGGGAGAATATAATTTTTTATTGAAAATTCTTCAAACAAAAATAAATCTTAAATGTAAGCATCCATATTACACGTTATCAGCCGCAGTAAATTTATTAAATAAACAAGATGATCAAACTTTATGAGAATTTATAATTGCCTTATTATTATTTGTTTCAAAAAGGGTTATTTAAAATTTTTATTTGTGTGGATAAAAACATTCATTTGGAAATAAAAAGTGGCGCCTCATTAATATAAATAACCCTGTATAATGAAAATTCACTGCTGTCGATTAATAATGCCATACACAACAAAATTTTATTATTCTATGATTATTTTTCATTTTTTATATGTATATTCTGCGTTTTAGGCCATAAATGAAACCTCGTTAAAAATGTACAAATAAAAGTTATCGCTATCTACAAATTAGCTAGTTTTTCTTAATGATTAAAGCATTTTCTATAACATCATTTACAATTAGAAAATTTAGTAACTTTTTGGTTTATTAGTTTTCCTTAAAGCATTTATTTACACATTTGTTACTAACGTTTTCTAAATATAATAACACTCAGTATTCAGTCATACATCATATGTATATTTTTTGTAAAATACGATGATATGTTTAATTTTTTTTATTTATAAATTTTTCACTTTTAACACTTGGTCACATCACCATTTTTAAACGATATTTTTAGGATATGCACTGTTTATACACAATCTTTTAGTTTACACTTAAGTTTAAAACACTGTATATTGTTTAGTGTTGCTTCCAACTATTCGCCTTGTAGTAGACGTCTTTGTACATGCTGGGGCAGGATTTTCCAGCCTAAAAAAGTATATAAATACGAATATATAATATGTATACTAACGGCTAAATAATTAAAACACCCAGTGTATATTGCGTATAAAGTGTAAAGCCAACTTTATTTATTTTTAACTATTAATATTTTTTTTCTATTTTTGGATCTTAAAATTAAAAAAAAGTGGACATAATACACTTTGATTCCAAGGTGCAAGTTATTTAATGATTCAAAATTGCTATGATATAATAATTATTAATATGTCTAACATAACAAATTTATTAATAAATTATTATTAGATTATTGTAAGGTTAATATTGATTATATTTTAGTCTATGGACACGTTTATCGTAAAAAAATAATTCAAAAATTATTTAATTTTAAAAGGCGCATTCACCATTTTTAACAATATTTGCAAAAATGGCGGATGCGCCGGAATTACTTTTTTGTGCAATTGGGGCTAAATTTTATCTTAAATTGTCAAAATTTAACTTTTAATTCTAAAATTGTATAACATTCATTTTAGGTAAATTATTTTTTAAATTTAAATTTAAAGTTCTACGTCTTATGTCATCTGTTATCTGTCATCTGTCAACGCCTGGTGGACTTCGATAGCATTGCGTGAATTTAAGAATTGTCAATAATACATTTAAAGCATACGAACTGTACATCATTTTTAAATAAATAGGTAGTTTTTTCACAAAAAAAAAGAAAGGCAGAAGTCTTACTCGACAAATTTTGTTCAATTGCATAGCTAAATCGCGCACGTTATTTGTGTTTTACGTTGCAAGGAAAAAAACTAAAAAACTGGTTTACTACTCGATTTCGATTGATTATTCTTTATATCATTGATTAAGAAACTCAACGCTTAAATGCTTGTATAGTTACGTTAGTGTGTGTATTTTATCAAAGGGATCATGGTGAATTATTGTGTTTTTAATTGTAAATAACATTCAAGAACTAAATCGTTGCATTTTCATGTTTTGCCAAAGGATCCATTTCGGTAAGTACATTTGTTGGTGCAGAATTAACTAATGATAACTTTACCTAATATAATTTATATTTAAGTTTGGACATTTTTAAGAAATCAGTAAAAATAATTTTTGCACAAACATAACCTTAAAATGAACCATTTTAATATGATATGCTAAATGCTGTTTAAATTTGGACGACTTATTTGTTTGGTTATTGCACTTGTGACATTTCCTAAAACGTACCTTAAGAACAACTTGGTACTTATGTCCACACTAGTTGTTAATGAAGAACAAACATTATCTGGATGTAAAGTTATATAATTGAACCTTCATCATATTATATGGTAATCTAAATTTGCAAAACACATAACTCGCATACTGTTAATCAAAATAATCGATCATTGATGTGTAAACAGTTTGCAAGTAGAATTGATTTGGCAAGCATTAATGTACAATGCCCAATTCAATAAACAGGCTTCATTTAATATCGTTACGGTTAGTTCCTAGCATAATTTGAAATAACGCGTTAAACCTTAATTTACCAATTTTTTAAAACGAAAATTTAGGGGCTATTCAAAGATTATTAGAAATCCAATGGTCGAAGCAATATTTCAAATAACTTTTTTATCAAACCCTCTAAACCCTTAAGATTAAAATTTTGAATGCTGTGAATGCTCTATTACATAGTCTAAAAAAACGTAATCAGCCACCGCAAAAACCATAATTCCAATCAAATCCAAACCTTTAACGACTTTTGGCCAACCGGGACCACTGTGCGCCGTTTAAAAAAGCTTCTCCCCGTATAAATGTTTTACATATTAATGAATACATTAGTTTCGTATCCATAACTAAATAAACTATCCTGAAACTAATAACCAAAGACACACATAACCTAATATCTCCCGAATGCAAATCTAGGAGCACAACTTCAATCAAGTAACACAAGTAACTGCTAATATTGCGGACGTCCACTTTCTTACAGGTTACAAACTTTGTGGAAATTCTTGATACGTCAGCGGCATCATCAAATCATTTTAGAGCGAGAGCAAATATTAGCCTTGCAATGTGTTGCATGTGATGGTAGCGGATAAAATCTTACGACCTGCGTTCTAATCGGGCTCACAGCTATACAATAAGATTATCGTAAATCATGCTAAGCCAGCTGTCTAAACATCAGTATTACCACAACAAACAATTCATTATGCAACGGGAGCGGAGCCGTAACTCATGCCCTCCCACCTCTGCTCCCCAACACTGGAATTCCGTAACAAAGGTACATTCTTATTTTTAAAACAATTTTTATTGAGCTGGACCATCATATCTTGTAATCAAGTTTGAACTCAATTCCGATCAAGCTGAAATAAATTCTGGCTTCAATGAATGGATTCATTAGATGAACAGGTGTTACAATGTCGAATAGCACACCCCGGTTGAATTTGTTGAGCATTTCCTTTTCAAAACCCTAGAAATTTTGGGCTTAAATGATGTAGAATCGACAATAGGCATCAAGCTCTTTCACATTGAAATGACTGTATTTTTCTTAGGTATTGTCTGTTTTTAATCTTGAACTTTTTGTCTGTTGGTATTTGTATTAATAACTGATGCTGCTACATCAAATCTGATAATTTTAGCAGAGTAGTACATTAATGAATTTGAGCAATTTATGTCCAATGCTTCTAATTTTGTTGATTGCCATATCTGGGGCATGTAGATGTGACGAAATGGTAAATATGAAATTAGACGATATAGAAGACTATAATCCATACAATAGGTGGCTCAATGTTTAAAATAACTCAATTTGAAGGATACATTGTCCAAGAAGAACATCTGCTGGACTTATTTTAGATGGAGGGTGGGTGAAAATCTAGTAGTATGGCAGCATGTTACAATAAAAAATGCATATCTGATAGGAACGATTCTCCAATGAAAATACTGTCAACAATTCCTGAACCAAATTATTTTAACTCTTAACCAAGTTGTAGCAGCAATTGCTTTCATAAAAGCGGGAGTAGATTCCTCTTTAATTTTGAAGGTGCTACTTTATTGCCTAAATTAGCTATAGAGAATCAACTGCGGTTTACATAACCAGTGACAGGATCGGTTGACCGCCGGCTAGTGAGTAAGGCTGACCGATTGTGGCTCTAGTAGCTGGCAAGGAGGCGAGCAATCAATTGGTGCGGCTGAACACATGTCTTGGGGTGCATTGGCCTCGAGGGGGAATCCAGCAAATTACTTGACATTAGAATACATGCATTCGGCATTAGTTAATAATTCCTGTGTAGGTATAATACATTAGCACGGTATTGTTGTCACATCGGGCAACAAATTTGATTCGATGTCGGCGGTAAATCAATAGCGCAATGTCGGCCAGAAGCGAAACTAAATCATGCCTAATGCATCTAGATTATGAATTAAGTCTGCAATTGTATATTATATTAATGCCGCCGCTTAAGCCCCATTAGCGCATTCACCAAATGTAATTAAATTCTTCCTCAATATATTAGTTTCATTTTGCAAATAGAGGTTTTATCGTTTGTTTGAATGTGGTGTTTTGATTAGAAACATATTGTCTTTTTTATGATTAATTCACAACGTTTTAATTGCTAAGTATCTGCAATCGTCTTCAGGTGATAACAGAGGTTTTATATTAAAAATACCATCAGGTGTTTAAGGCAATTATATGAACTTGATACAGTATGTATCTCATTTATGGAATAAAATTCGTTTTTCGATGGAAAATTTATGAAAAACTTTTCGCGGAATTGAAATGAACATTTTGGAAGAAAAGCTACCATATGACATCCTTGAGGCAGCAAATATAGGAAATGCTAACAAAACAAGTTGAAAGGATATGGCCTTAACAAGACTATGCTCTTCCTGTACTGAATTATTTAAATGACACCTTTTCACACAGGTGAATCGGAAAAAGACATTCCATAGAATGGCCAGCAAGATCACCAGATCCAACACCTTTAGAGTTTTTCCTATGGGGAAATCCAACAAATAGAATGTTTAAACACAACTTGTTAGTTTAGACGAATTAAGAAGCAGAAGAGGTTTTAAACAGTTGAATTACTTTTATACCTCTTCAAAATTTAAGACACAAATGTAAAATTATATGTAGCAGAATTATTGAAATATAAATATCAAAAATAATAAAGGTTCATTAAAATTTGAAAGGCCTTGTAAATTAACACCTTGTATTTTTTGATGTCATGTAGTTTCTCTTTGAACTGGCGCTTGATGAAAACTCAGGGTCGTTTCGGCCGTTAATAAGCGCTGCTTTATTTGCCGTGCTCGTGGAGTTCGGGCAAACAGTTCATCGCGTTATTGGGTCTTGTTATTAAACGCAAAAGTACAAATTGGTTTTGCCTTTTGCTTTAGTTTTTGCTTGAAAACGTTTGAAATGTAGATATTGAGTTTTAGGTAATATTTTACATCATATGGTTCAAACATTTTATTTTATTTAACGAACATATTCTACATACACTGCGAAATAAAAATCAGATTAAACAGAATTAACAAATATTTTTTACTGTGTGATCCTAAAACAGAAATACTTACGTCAGCCCGGTGTTTAACGTTGAAGTCTATATTTGTCCGGACCGGGCGGTGGTGCAAAGGCTGAGGAGGTCGGAAATTGTTGCCCAAAGGTGCCTTCGGATGTTTGGCGTCGCCCTGCATCAGTCTGCGAAGGCCGTGCATCTGCAAAACACAAGACAATCGTGTCAACGATGTTGTCACACACCCTTGTACGTGCTGATAGTGTTGAGTTAGTTGATAGGTTCGGTGGGTGGTTAATGGGTGTTCCTATTTTAACGCAGTTCAGGAATAATTTAATTGGTTGTAAACTTAACATAAATTCTGGTTAATATTTGGTTAAAATTAACAAATTTCTTCAAAAAATAAAAAATACTTTATGAAACGACTTGCGTTAAGGATAATAAGCCTGTTAAAGAAGAGGCAGGTTTTGTTCCTTTATACTTGCTTGTTCTTACCCCTGCATTCTTAGGGCGGGCGGGCGTATTCATTCGGGATCACTCGTGCGTACCGCACTTTTAAAACCTTGTTTACCGCCCGGTTGACTGTATTGTGATTACATTAAACACGAATTATACTCCACTCCATTCATTATCTTAATAAATTGTTTTAATACGATTACTAGCTATCTCTCATCATTCTCCTTGTCTTATGCGTTGTTGCTTTGTGTTTTGTCGACGAGGATATTCATTAAAAAGCAAAATTAATGGGATGGTAATGATAAAAGTTTAAATGCATGAGAAGAAGTTTTTTCATTCAAACAATAGATACATTTGTATGTATTTTCCCAGTTGTACATAGTTGCATAAATGGGGTATGCAACAGAATATACATTTTATTTTCATGACTACACCCTCAGAGCCATTTGTGGCTGTCATTTTTGACTAATTCTTTTGTAGAGAGTATAATATCTTTCATAATTAAGTAGATATTACAGCTCAGTTTCCAGATTTTTAATCGCAATTAATTATTTTTTACAATGTTTTAAAAGTCTAAAACCTATCCTCCGTAACCGTTACTCTTTCTAGGTTAACCTATATGTTTTCAAATATCTGAGGTAGTAAAAGCATACTAAAAATATCAGTTCACTAAGTAAATTAAACACATCCAAAGCAATCGAATCAAATATAAAATATTATTAAAAATTAAAAGAAAAAATTTTTATAACCATTTATGTAGGTGTTACAAAAATTGATTCTATCCTCCGTGAATCTGTTTTTGCTTTAAATTGTATGCAACGGATGTCGCTTTAATCATTTTAAATAAGTCAAAACCTCTGTTTATTATAGTTGCATGTAATTCCTGAAGGCCAGTTTATATGCCAATTTATATGCAGTGTTGCTATTTTATAATTCAGAAGTTTAAGTTCATTAATTTGCTATTTAAAAACCTATCCACCGTGAAGTGTAATATCTCAGTAAGTAAATCAAAAGTTTTATGAAAGTTAATGTTTCACCTCATTCAAGAATTTAAAAAAATCCACTGTAATTTGTAACTTCGAGCCACTGTGCGTCCTGCCGCACGCCCCTGGCGGCTTCTGAACAGTTCAGGAAAAGTGGGAAGCAAGTCCGACTACGAATTACGTTTATAACTTTGAATGTTTCTCAGAAAAATATGACTTATTTTATTTGAATTAAATTTAGTTTTACTCGAAAGTTTTAAGCATCTTGTAACTATGCATTATTCATTACGGCGGCAGGAAATTTTCATCCTGCACAAATATTGGGATTACCGGAGATTATTCAATTTTACACGTTTTTCCAAAACTTTTACAAAATGCGGTTTAATCAAAATTATGTTAATGGGTGAATATATTGAAATGTCCCCCAAGTGAAAATGATTATTTTTTATTTTTAGTTGTTTCACTGTTGGACTAGAATGGGGTTTTTGCTTCACGGAGGTTAGGATTTCGCATGTTTTTCTTAAAACATCCCTTTGTATATTTTAAATAAGTTATTGTATCTTTTGACACCTTAATATTTTTTTTAAATACAACTGACATATTACACTTCACGGTGGATAGGTTTTTGAATAGCAAATTAATGAACAAACTTTTAAATTATAAAACAGCAACAGTCTCATCTGCATAAAATTCTAACTGACCTTCAGGAATCACATGCATCTATTATGTCGTAAACAGAGGTTTTTCCTTATTTAAAATGATTAAAGCGCCATCCGTTGCATAAAATTTAAAGAAAAAACAGATTCACGGAGGATAGAATTAATTTTTGTATAACCTACATATATGGTTATAAAAATTATTTCTTTCAATTTTTAATAATATTTTATATTTGATTCGATTGCTTTGGATGTGTTTAATTTACTTAGTGAACTGATATTTTTAGTATGCTTTTACTACCTCAGATATTTGAAAACATATAGGTTAATCTAGAAAGAGTAACAGTCACAGAGGATAGGTTTTAGACTTTTAAAACATTGTAAAAAATAATTAATTGCGGTTAAAAATCTGGAACCTGAGCTGTAATATCTACTTAATTATGAAAGATCAAAACCCAATAAAAGTGTAGGTCACCCTTATAAATATGTTTTCTACTCCCACCTTTAAAATCGTACAGGTTTTCATGAAACTAAGTGATCTTTTAAATACAAATTGACAAGCTGTGACTTTATGGCATTTTAGTCACAGGCTGAAGTAGAAAATATTTTTTTGTCATTTTAGACATATTTGCTTATTAATTAAATACCAATTCAAAAATAATGCAATTTTATTAAAATTTACAGAGAAATCCTTAAAAATTGTTTGTTTGTGATAAAAAAAAACAAAAACTCTCGTATTGGTAATAAAAAATGCGAACAATGAATTCATTGTTTTTCCAAATGAAAGATTAGTATTTTTGCAAACGTTACCTTTATGATTTTGCAAAAACCTATAAAGCTTTTTATTCAATTAATTTGCACATAACAATGGATTTTATCTATAAAAACGTACATTTTACAAACACCCAGTTTTATTTTTTTTTTCATTAACGGTGTAAAAGTAGTAAAAATAATTAATATGGAGTCTGATTATTGCAAATGAAGATAAATTTCATGTACAAAACAGATTGATTTTAACTTTAATGGTAAAGTTCAGTTCTGTAAAATATTCCCAAATCTTTAGATAATTATCGTGTGCTTGCATGAGGATTAGCGGCCGTTGCTGCTAGAACATTAATTTCATTATTTCCACCTGTGACTGTTGCTCGACGAACTCTTTTTTCGGTTGAACACTCCCGTTTGCAGTAAACTGTTTGACTGTACGGTGAAATGAAGAACGTGATCGAATTTTTTCCGGAAAACGCTGAGCGTGGATATTAACAGCATCATCAAGATTCCTGCCTGCTTCCCCATAAATCAAAATCATTTCCATTTTTTCTTCCACTGTTAAAAAATCCATTATGAATAACTGCTTAACGAAAGGAGGTCTTTTTGTTTGCAAATTTATATTCGAACTAAATTGATTAAATAATGCTAAACTATGTATAAATAGTTTTTTATACCTTAAATTTTTATTAAAAATAGTACAATAATCCTTTAAATTAAAGGATTTAATGCTGGCAGGTAAAAAGTGACCATGGTGCGCAATTGATAATTAGAATTACACTTACATTTTGTTGTTGTAATATGTTTTCTTTCGGGTTCGTTAAACTTGTTGTAAACAAACAAAACTTGCGCAGCTTCACATAGACTTATTCCATTTAAATGATACTTTCTCGTTTGTTCAAGCTTCGCAATCCTGAGAGGGTATGTATTCAAACAATACGTAAAACGTATGTCGGCGTAAGGGGTTCGAGAACACATGTAAAGGTACACGTGCCGACATGGGATCACGTTTGAGTACGAAAAGGAATGCGTGAGCTCTATCCTTACCTGTTGCTTCTCCGACTGCTACCGCTTTGCCTTTAGTGTAATGTAAATGATGGGGGATTAACGTTTTTACAGGTTGTAAAGCTACCATTATGGTTTATTAATTGCGATCTAAATTTGAGTGGGCTTCAGTTAACATCGAATTTAAATACAGGGGGAGTTTATATTTACATTCAAAAACGTGAAAAACCAGGAGACTATAGTCTATATAGACTATACGATATTTATTTATTTGTCTACATTAATGTTGTCGCCTTCAAAATAGTCCCCATTGGATATTATGCACATGTGCCAGCTCTTCTTCCAATACTTCTAACACTTCTAAAACTCGATCTTTGGGATAGCCTTTAGTTCTTTCAGCGATGCGCTTTTAATGTCGTCTATGCTTGCAAAACGACGGCCCTTTAAGGTTCTCTTTATTTTTGGGAATAGGAAAAAGTCAGACAGAGGCATGTCTGGCGAATATGGAGGCTGGGGCATCATTACAGTATTGTTTTTGGCCAAAAATTTTGTTCAAAATTTCACAATTTTGGAACAAATTTTGCTGCCACGCGTTTCATACCCAAAACATTCGAAAAAATTTCATGGGATGAGCCAATCGATATACCAACATCATCAGCGACTTCTCTGATGGTTTATAACCATTTCTTCCACTTTTTCCATGTTTTTATCGCTTTTTAATGTGCTTGTGCGTTCGGGGCGTTCGTCATCTTCAACGTCTTCACGGCCATCTTGGAAACTCTTATACCACTTGTAAACTCTTGTTTTACTTATAGCAGACTCACTATAGGCCTTTGTTAACATTTCACAGAATTTATTTCATTTTTTAAGCAAAATTGGATACAAATTCTTTGATCCATTTCTTTTAACGAACGAAAAATCGCCGAGCTCATAAAACACGTCTAACCTTAGTGGCTGCCACAAACAAAGTAAACAATGAAAACAGCTAAAGTTTTTATCAAACTTCGGGGGCATGTATACCAACATAATAAAAAAAATATTATGACAACCGGACCCTCCGAACCCGCGAAATTTAACAATTCTTAACATTTAACAGGCAAGAACAAGATCTGCTTGTTTAAAGAAAGATTAATATTTAATTTAATGTTAGTTTTAGCATTGACAATATTATGTCAATCATATTGTTTCAACTCTACTTGATTTTAAGCTAAGAACTAAAGTCTTTTTAATTTAAGGATAGGTGAGAGTAGAAAAACTTCTCGAGAAGATTTAATAATATTGATGCCTCCAATATGGCTGCATCAATTAGGTATAATTGAATTAAATTTAAATGACAA